AATCAGCCAGGTAAATGTAGTGACTTCCAGAGTTCTACCATTTAAGATATACTCACAAAGATGTTACAGGGACACAGACACACATCCAGTCACCATACAAGGTCAGTCCAGAAGGTATCCAACCATGTACTATGAAAAATAGAGACATTTGTTGAAGAAAATACAAGATACAAGAAACATTGCACTTATCCACTATACGAAGGCTTTGCAGTCTGTAAAAGCAGATTTCACTGACAGGCTGAACATACGTCGCCTCCAGGACACTACTAGGTGAGTGTAGTGACGATGTTAGGGTGAGGGAGAGTCTCAACGAGTGAGCATGAAGACCAGACTGAGGTGGTCTGGGGGTGGTTGCACATGGAGGCAGCATTGGCATTTGTGATTAAAGACTGCAGGGGGAGTGCCAGTGGTAAGAGATGGGCTGAACGAAGCTGGGGAGAGGAGAAAGCAAACACTTAAATGGTGCCGCCATCTTCCAATATACTATACTTACACAATAAAGACAACTTTAATGTCATTTATGTTGACTCATTCTGTTGTCCTAAAAGTAATGTCAACACAGATTTTTATTAAAAATTAAATAACTTAAAAAGGGCACTTACACTCTGATCTAGATTCCAGAGTAGTATTTTAGCCCCAACCCTGACACTCGCTTTGCTCTTACATTCTCGGTTTCCTCATCTATAAAAAAGGGTATAGTCATAACTCCCTTAAGGAGCTGTTACAAAGATTAAGTAAAAATATCATGTGCTGTGCAAACTATAAATGTAAACTTAATACAATTTACTGTAAATGGTATTTAAAACTGCCAAGTTCAAATAACAATCCTTGCTCCATCACCATGACGTAAGAGAATTTGCCCCAGTCATTAAGCATGGTGTGTCTCAGCATCTCCATCGGTAAAATCAGGTAGCTTGGAACTGTGGGCCTCTCTGCTGGGTATTGTCCGAGGATTAACAACAGAGAAGTGCACAATTAGTGCAAGTCTTTTAGGGGAAAAATTCTACCTGCACTTAAGAGGTAATAAACACTTTTCTTTCCAAAGTATTTTTAATGTTGAGAATTTTTAGAACAAAAGATGATAGTGAAACAGTATTTGTTTATTTTTGGGTACTGATATGTTATAATTTTCTTTTGGCTATAGAAATGTATGCAAAGAAAAGTGAATATGTTAAGCAGGCTAATGACAGAATCAGAAGGTTTCTTGGTTCTTTTTCCTTTTTTAACAGGCATCTGTTATAATGCTTCTCTCTTTTATTACTTGAACAACCACTTAGCTGAGGAGTTAAGCCACCAGAAAACTATTGGAAAATCATTTTGTCCATATGTCTTATATGACCACAGCAGAAAGGCTGGAGCCAAAAATCACTGAAAAATAATAGTTTGTTTACCAACATCAGCTACCAAATGGTTTCTTTTCTGTAGCTTACAGATACCTTGGTGAGACCTCCACCTGTAGCAATTCTATAACTGATCTTCTTTAAAATATTGTTTTAAAAGAATCATGACAGAACTGCTTCTGGTACCAACAATTTGTATGACATTAAGCACATCACTTCTCTTGAAACATCTGAGTGCCTAACTTTTAAATAAAGGGGCCACAGTGATTCTAAACTGGGGAGACACTGCCCCCAAGGGGCACTTGTAAATCTCTAGGAGTCTTTTTTGTTGTTTGTTTGTTTAGAATATGGGGCAGTCCTGCAAAATGAAGAATTGTCCCACCCAAAGGCTAGTCGTAGCCCTTGTTATCTCTAAAGTCCCTTCTGACAGTCAGCGACACCAAGTGGCTGCGCGTTCGTTACCTCACTCAGCCGCCCGTTCCCGACCTCCTCTGGGTGCCGGGCACCACCTCCCTCGCTGAAAATGTCTTAGAAACCTGGGTTTGGATTTGTATTCTTCTTTCTCCTTCTGTCCTTCCTAAAAGTCTTCCCTATCCATAGCACCTGGAATTTACAAATAAGGGGTTTTATTTTTGTTTTTGGTTTTAGCTCAATTCATTAAGGGAATAGATGCCAGGACTCATCATGTGCTTAGGGAGCGCTAATGACACTGAGAGCCAGAAAGGCTTGCTTCGGTCCTTCCCGGAGACTGGGGGACAGCCTAGTTTGCTTCAGTGATCCAGGGATGGAGGCCCTCGGCTCCGTTGACCAAGGGCTTCAGCCAGATAAGGAAATCCCAGTTGTGGAGCGCGTACCTAAATACTTTAACTGTTGATTAGATCATTTCTACTTTTTAAAACAAAACACTGTTTTATGCCCCGTGAACAATTTTCACTGGCAAACTGAAATTTCTTCATATACTTAAATGGCATTTGAGGCCAGTTGTAAAACCTGCCTTAGAGCATTTTACCACATCAGGTAGGGTCATTAACTTGCCAATTAACTATGCAACGAGCAACCCCTGTGCTATAGCACAATCCTCCCAGCCACGGGCTCCTCCCCTCCAGGAGCGCTGTCTCCTCTGGGCTCGGGCCCCCCCCCACCCCCCCCCACCCCCGGCCGTCACAGTGTTAGATGACTATTCACAAGGCCCTTCATCACCTTATCATCTCACAGCAGCCCAGGGGCAGCCTGCATTCTGATTGGTTGTTTCATTTTGCGAAGGAGAAGACCACTGTTTAGAGAAGCATAAGGATTTGCCCAGGTCACAAAAAGCTTTAGGGGAAAAGGAGATTCTAAGTGCTGTTTCGGTGCCAAAAAGCCACTCTGACAATCGGGGATGCTTTGCAAATACAGTAAACCCCCTTATTCATGCGGGACCTATTCTAAGAACCCCAGTGGATGCCTGAAACCACAAATAATATGGAACCCTATATACACTATGTTTTTTGGGGTACATACATACCTATAGTAAAGTTTAACTTATAAACTGGACACAAGAACAGAATAACAACAACTACTAATAAAATATAATAGAACAATTATGACAATATAAGTAAAATAAGAGTTATGTGAACACAAGCAGCACGATACCATGACAGTTGATCTGCTAGTTGAGACTGCTACTAAGTGACACATACAGGTGAGTGTCACAAACAGAACAGATACAGGGGACAAAGGGATGACTCACATCCTGTGCAGTCTTTGGTAGGTCAGAGTGGGACAGCATGAGGTTTCATCATGCTACTCAGAATAGGTGCGATTTAAAACTCATGAATTGTTTATTTCTGAAATTTTCCATGTAGTATTTTCAGATGGAATTTTCCATGTAATATTTTCAGATGGTATTATTGACTGTGGGTAACTAAAACTGAGCAAAGTGAAACCATGGGAAAGGGGGTAGACTATTGTACAAAAAACGTTTTTCAGCCTCTATTTTGATGTTCCTGATTATTAAAAATTATTATATGTATTTGTTCAATAACTATTATTGGATACTTAGTACTTATTGGAATATAATACTTATCCAATAACTATTATTGGATATTTATGAGCCCAACAGGGTTTTGGGTACTAAGAATATATTCCTGCTCTCACGAATCTCTGGGCAAGTTGGGAAGTTAGACATTATTCTAATAATTCCATATTAATTTTTGTAATTGATACTATCTCAGTCTAGGTGGTGGAAGTGGGAGAAGGTGCCATGAGTAAGTAGATCTGAGAGACGTTTAAAAGATGGAATTGGCAGAACTCAGTGATCAGTAAGATGTAGCAGTAAGAGTGAAAGAATATTAGGGGTCACCATCCTGTATTTGGCTGCTGTGGGCAGGGCCACTTGTTGAGGATTCCAGCAGAAGAACTGTACTGGGCAATGGGACAAGCTCATCAGTTTCTCATTTGGTATATGAAGATTGAAGTCCAGTGGGCCATATGTTTGTCTGGTGGAGACGCTGCTTTACATCAAGTATCCAAAAGTCACTGCATCACCAGGGCATGGGAGAAACAACCAGTTCTTGGAACCCAGAGCATGTGTTTGGAAACAGGACTATCAACCGGCATCGGGGCCCAAGTGATTTGCAAAAGGCTTTCAATTGTAATATTTCTGAGCTTCACTACAATCTCTGGGGAAAGTCAGTAGGAACTGTTATCTTCTTCTACTAACAGGAAACTGAGGCTTCCTGAGTTTATGATGTGCACAAGGTCACACTGCTATAACAAGGACCGAGCACCCAATTTCAGATATCTGGCCCTGGGCACAGTGGTCTTCTCACTTCACCATGTTATCTCACTACACGGTCTACACAGTCAGGGTGAATTCTTCACCAATTCTCAGGGCTGTTAGATGGAATCTCGCAATTTGTGCAAGATGTATAAGAGGGTTAAATGGTAATGAAAAAATACAATAAAAAGGTAAAAAACACAGTAACAATAACAAAAATAAAAGTAAGTTTGGGATTCATCACTAAAAAAAGAAATGAAATCAAAGTTAATTTTTTCTAAATTATGTTCAACCTTCTTGCTTTTATTACTCTTTTTTATAACAGCATGTTTAAGTTACCTGTAAATTTCTGAGATTAATATTTGTATTACATTTAGAGCAATTTTTTTAAGAGTAAAATTTCAAACACAGATCACAGTAACTTTTACTGGTTGTGAGAAGACAGTTGTGTGGGAGAAATTAATTTTAATTTTTGTGCATATTCTAACAACTTATAAAGCATTGTAAGACCTTTGTCCCCTTGCCTCCCATTCCCAGATGTATTCCCGAAGTGGCGGGACCATCTAAAGTGGCTCAGCGTATTCTCCCAGCATGCGAGGTGTTCCTGTGGGGCCAGGACACTGGGGGACCCAGGCAGCCAAGCTGTCCTGAGACAATAGGGGCAGGAGAATCTTCCCCCAGCCTGTCTTATCCATTTGCCTTATCCCTTTTCCTCTAGGGGATGTTTAAGGAAAGCTAATTTGTGTTTGTTTTTGAATCTGTTTTAATTGCATCAGTTTTGGCTCTACATAAAACGGCAGGTTCAAGGGAAATAGCCTTTCAACAGAGCTAAGACATGTTTCTTTATTGCGTGAAAAGCTTCCCCCCGAACCTCCTACTGTTCTTTACCTTCCTGCCCGTAGCTCCTGGACTGTTTTGTGATCCCGGTCGTGATTTTACTCTCCTGGTTCTTCCTGCTGATCCGATACAAGGCTGTGCACTTCATCGGTATCGTCGTCTGCATCCTGGGGATGGGCTGCATGGTGGGAGCAGATGTGCTTGTGGGAAGGCACCAGGGAGCAGGTGAGTCTCCGTGTGTTCACCAGGAGTCCTGTCTCTGTGGATAAGGCTGAGGCAAGACAAAAAATGGTCATTGTTGGGTAGCAAAAATGAACCTGGTCTTCACACTGCCTCTATCTTATTCATGCTTCATTCCTCGCACCTAGAACGGTGGCACATAGGATGTGCTAAATACATTTCTTGAGTGAATAAAAGAAGCAAAATATAGGTTTTAAGCTCTTTCTACAAGAATTCAGAAACCATGTTTAAAGGTGAGAGCCATGACCCACTTGGAGAATGTTTTGGGGGCCAGAGCTGCCTGGCCCAGACTAGCTGGTCGGGCCATTCCTGAGCCACAGGCACCTTCCCCACCCCGCACCTACCACCTCCCAACTCTTTGTCTCCCAAGTCAGAGATAGACTGAGCTTTCATACTACTTGATGAAGATTGATATATAGGCCTAATGGAGATTTAAAGTTTAAATTCCAAGGCAGGGCACATGGTTGGGTTGTGGGTTTGGTCCCCAGTCAGGGCGTACAAGAGAGGCAATAGATCAATGTTTCTCTCTCACGCCGATGTCTCTCTCCTTCTCTTTCTCCCTCTCTTCCCCTCTCTCTAAAAATAAATAAATAAAATCTTTTTAAAAATTTAAAGTTTAAAGACTAAGATTAGGAATACTTGAGAGAGAGCTAAGTTTAGTCTCTTCATGAATTCTTTGTTTTTTGTTCTGGAGGAAAGTTTTTTGGTAGCAGTCATAAGTGTACAAGGTAAGGCTTCAAGATGTCCTCATCAAATTGCTATTAATCTTCTGGGGAACGCTGATCTGAGGTGGTTTCCAGAGGTGGAGAGAAGACGTCTGCAGTCCGCGGTATTGCAGACTCTGTCTTGGAGCCTATAGTGGGATTTAATGTGGAAAGGACACAAACACCCACCATGTTCCAATTTTGTGCTTGTCACAGGCACAAGTGATCATCTACCCTAGGAAGAGTCCATGTCTGTGAGCTCACCTGAAAGGAGATGTCTTTTTCAAGTTTGTCAGTAAAATCAGTGGGCCTATCAGTGCATTTTCTCTTTGCCACCTTACTCTGGTCTGGCATTATAGGTCTGCTCTGAAGACCATCTCTGCATTTCCAGGATTTTGCATCGGCACAGGGGAAAAGACATGCGATAAAGGTGGCTCCTCAGACTGTTACTGATGTTAGAGTGTATAAAAATGACTTAGTAAGGCCAAAGAGATACTTTCCCATAACATTTCTACTTTCCTCAGAAAACGGATGGATTAAATGAGAACGTTAGAAAGTAATAGGATTAAGATAAAACTTAATTAAAATAGCTCCTTATTATACAAGGTATTTCTTGCTCCTCAAAATATTTCTTTTCTACCACAATACATTTACTGTGTCTTATAGTTCACTTATCAAAGATGCTAGATACTCATAACAACATTTTTCTTATTAGACATAATTTTGTATTTATTTCAAGAAAGAATATATTTTGGGGGAGCTATATAAACGCAACTGAGTAAAAATGACAATTTTATTGGTGCAAGGTACTTTCACATGCATTATCTCATTTAATCCTCCTAATTGTGCAAAAAAGCACTTTTATTCTCATTTTTGCTGGTGGAGAAGTCAAGGCTCAGGAAAGATAAGACACTTGTGCAAGGGCACACCAATACTAAAAGGTGTGGCCTCAATGTGAATTCTAGCCGTTATTCTTTCTGCTGTACCACTTAACATTTTTTTCCCATAATTGTGATTCTTCAAAGAAATGCACAGCTGTTCTATTATAGTAAATTAGGGTGAGTGACTGTCCCAGATTTCCCACAATGGATGGGCTTCCCCGGCCACTTGGGAAACCCAAAGACTCCCAGGAAAACAAGGCAGTTGATCACATTTAAAACTCAAAAATACTCAGTGGGATGAGTTCATTTTCATTAATTGCATTAATAGCCTTTCAACACTCCTGAATAGTATAATTCACCATTTAATTTTTGATCTAGTGGAAAGTAATGATTTTGAACAGCCTTTCCTTTTCTCCTCCTGTTGCCTTGTAGACACAGATATCCCTCCAAACACGGTGTTTCTAATAATTAAACAGAAGTTCTAATAAGGACAACCAATTTTTGCAAAATGGTTATTACTGGGCTGATGAGTGCCAAGAAACAATCCAAAATGGGAAATGGCCAACACAAAGAGACAGGTAGCTAACTGTTGAAAGGGAATGATTGATTCACCCTATTTAACCACCATTTAGTGAATGTTTAATGAGGGCCAGATGATATGCTAAGCATTTTACATTATTTTACTGTATTCTCACAATAGCCTCATTTTAAAATAAGGAAAGGTGAAGTGTAGAAAGATACTATAGCTCATCCAATGTTCAATAGCTAATAAGTGGCAGAGATGTGATTAGAACATATGTCCACCTGTTGAAAGCCATTGACCTTTTTAGTCGGCTTGATTCATTTAAACATTTACTGAGAACTTACAGCATGTCAGGATCCACGCTAAGGACCACACCGTATAAAGCTAAATAAGTCACAGCCCAGGCCCCTCCGCCCTATTGTATAAGAAAACAGAGGCAGAGGGAAAGTACACAAGGTAACAAGTAGCACAACATAATCACTCATTGTGGTTTCATACATACATAAATGACATTTGCTGGGTATAACATAATTTTCCCAGTGAGCATTGCACACAAACCGGCACTACCATGTTAGGTGCATTAACAGTACATAAACCATGGAGTTACATGTAATTTCCAGTTAACTAGATATAAAACATTAGTTTTAGTAATTTCTTATACTTCTGTCAAATACTTCATCATATAATACAGTTGGGTAAAATCATGTCCCAGATAATTTAATTATATTTAATCAACTAAATTTTTATACATGTAGACTGTATATGTATGCATTTTTAAATGATTTAAAATTGATGAATATACTAATGAAATATTAATAAGTAACACTTAATCATTTTGCCACTAATAACCAGAAAATACTTCTGAACCTATAGTTACACAAAATTATATTATTATTAACAATAATTATCACTCAAAGGGAGTAGGTTTAATAAAATCAAAGGATAGTTAATGGAAAAGGCCATAACTGTACAAATGTAGATTTTGTAAAAGATTAGTGAGACTGTTTCTGGCCCCTTTTTAGGACTTTTACAAGGTAGATTGATATTCCCTTAGTTTCTATTAAAACGCTTCATGAGAATTTCGCTTTCCTGAATCCATTCATATAAAATTAATTTCATTAACCAAGAATTCTATTAAGCAGCACCTCCACACTTCACTGGTGCAACAATAATTGACATTCATAGTAACAACCCCGGGTCATCACAAGGTTCTAAAATGGCTCCTGAATGAAAAGTGACCAAGTCATGCTCATTAGAATTTTAGTAATGGATTTTTTAAAATTTTACAGGTTATTCTTCAAGCAAACTACTTAAAATAAAAAGTTTTGTCAGTATTTTCTAGTGGACACATAAAAAAGATTCATCAGGTTGCTGAAGTTGACACGCTGTCACAGCAACCTTAACTTCCCCAGAAGAAGCCACAGGGGCCTCCCACAAGGTCTGGTCTCTCACCAGGGACTCTTCTGCTCCCCACAGCCCCAGGGAGGGCTCCCGGCTCTTGCAAATCCAGATTCTGAGCTCCATTGCCTCGAGGATGACTCCAACCAGTTCTCCTGACTTGCAGGGTTTCTTCTCCTTTCTCCCTGATCCTTCAGGAGTGGGCAGTTGCCTCAGAAAAAGTGACACCACTTCGAGTGAATATGTACTCTCTCACAGTGACCACAGGGCGGGAATGAAGAGGTCTTTCCTCAAGCCCAGCCCAGGTTCTTTTATGTGAAACCACTCCCACAAAATCCTCAGTGCTTCCAAATGAGCAGTGAGATTCTGGTGGTACAGTTTTAGATTGTTCCAGACAACCTGGGAATCCAGGGCTACTCGAGTTGAGGCTCTCCCTTAGAATCATGCTGGAGAGAGCCCCCTGCCTGTTCCACACCATTCCTGTCCCAGAGCAGCACACGCGTTGGGTTCCCATCACTTACTGTACAGGACAGAGCTGGACACCACTTGGGTATCAGGCCACCAGTTACGTCTCCCCGACTGCTGATGTGCGCTCTCTTTCCCGGGCTCCCCACTTCCTGAACTGGAAAGAGTTTGCCTAAGTATAAGAAATAGCCAGGTACATTTTTTTGAAGATTGGACGTAGACCAAAACTAACCAAAACTGAGTTTAAAACAAATAGATATCTTTTATGGAAAAAAGGAAAGTATTGATGTGATAGTGAATTGCATATATTTTTATTCTTATGTTACTTACTTTAAGGAAGTTGAAAATTTTAACCCACAATCCCTTTCACTCTTGTTTTCTAAGCAGGTACACATTTTGCCCTTGGTCAAAATAGAGCCTCAACTACAGTTTAGCTTCTCTCCCATATAAGAGAGGGCGGAAAGTTGGGCTGCTTCTGTTTGTTCTACACCATGTTCACTAAACTGTTGGAAAGCACCCTGAAGCAAATATAACATGTGCATGTATTAGCATATATTCATAGACTTACTCCTGGATGAAGGCTGGGCTTTGCGGAGATGGTGAAATCTACAAGAAATTGGTCCCTCTCTTAACTAAGGAAGACTTCCGGGTGGAACATATCTGACTGTCCATAAACAAACTTTATTAAATCTCAGTTGACAAATTATAGAACTTTTATAAAAGTGTCGGAATAAAATAGCTGTAGGAAACTGATTATGCTGATGCTAAATTCTTGTTAGGAAAATTTGAATGAAGCTCCTTCTGCTGTTTTTGGTTCCTAGGTGAAAATAAGCTGGTTGGGGACCTTCTGGTCTTAGGAGGAGCCACACTCTATGGTATCTCTAATGTCTGGGAAGAATACATCATCCGAACCCTGAGCCGAGTGGAATTTCTGGGAATGATCGGACTCTTCGGGGCATTTTTCAGTGGAATTCAATTGTGAGTAAAAACAAGAAAATAGCAGGCAGCAGAGACTAGTGGGACTTATGCTTACAAATTTTTTCTTTGGTGTCGGGTTCATCACTTCACTTTATAAAAATCAAGGCTGGGAACCTGTCACCATCCTCCCACATGAAGTTTGAAAACTCAATATCTTAATTAGTCAATTTCTTCCAAACTAAAAAAGTTTATTATGAATTATTAGAAAAACTTTCAATGGACTTTGAAGATAATTTACAAGAAACCAGTAGAAGTACATTGATTCTCCCAAAGCAGCCAGTGGGATTTTACTTAAAGAAATAGAAAAACTAAGTGTAAATGCCATGATTTGATGCACTTCCCAAAAGGGACATTCTGTTTACTAGTGACAACTGTCACTAGAAATCTTACAGTTTAAATTTGCCCTTTTATACATTTTTTTCTTTTATTGCCTGTGGATTTGCATGAGTGAATCATATATCAAAGTCATCTCTTAGAAATTTAGCATTTCCATTTTCCTTAAACAGGTGAAGATATAACTCAGACATTCACTAAACCTCAAAAAGTCAAAAACATAAATTTTGCAATAATTCTGGCTTTGGAACATATAAGTCATCACTTACTTGTGCCTCAGAAATTGTGGTGAGAATAAATGTCAAATAAAGTATAATTTTTCATCAGGAAAAAAAGCATATATTTTAGTTTCACATAAGAGCTGAATAAATGTATCTCTTCCAGCCTAATTTCACCAAATCTGTTTTTACAATACAAGCAATTCTGACTTCACCAAATCACTTTCTACAAAGCACATACTTTGTAACTGTAGTGGTTCAGTGTCTGAAATTATTTATGGAAGATATTTTGGCATCACCTTAAACATGTTTTGCAAATAGACTGTTTCTAAGAATCCTCCAAGTTTCTGTACCTTCAGATAAAGGTAAAAAGCTCCACAGCAGACAAGACACAAAGATAGGAAGGCTCTTCAAGGATTTATTTTCAGTTCATTTTTTAAAGCATGATGGCATTTTAAAGCTCCTAAATTTGGTGCTTTAGATTTGTGAGAGGAAAAGAAATCGCCTAGTTCAGCTATTCGGAACCAACATTTTGTAGATGGATGGCTCGTTTTATGGATTATTATTCTTGAATCCAAAATATATATTCAGAGATCTAGTGTTTATTTGCTTTGGTTGCAGTCCATTGGAGCCAAAAGAGCCCTTCAGAGACACTGCCACCAAAACAATGGAAGTGGCATATGGGTGGGTTTGGCACATGGGATGCATCGAGGACCCACTGAGACCAAGTAATGCTGGTGGCGTGGCGCCGCCTCGCCTCCCCATCGTCCTCTAGAGGAGCGGTTCTCCCAGTGCGCTGCTCGGCCCGGCGGCACTGGCATCGCACGAGAACTGCTCCTACACGCACACCCACGGTCCCCTCCCAGATCTATGGAATCAGCGTCTCTAGGAATAGGGCCCAGGAAACTGTTTCAGCATGCTCTCTAGATGACTTTTTAGCACATTTAAGTGTGAGAATCACTGCCCTAGACAGTGCTCAGTCAGAAAATTGATTACAACTGCAAGCACAGGAGTTTTTCCAGCCCCGCCATTTACTTTGCAGGAAGCGTCCAAGCCAGAAGAAACAAAGGCTATAGGCAGACTGCTTGGGTTTGCAGGGCAGTGGGAGGTTTGAGCTCCACCATGCCTACTGGCACACTGCCACCGCTGCTGGGGCCCCTGACAAGATCCTTGAAGGTAAACCTCGCTCTGCCAACTCAGACTTGCCTCTGTGTCCCCAGTGGCAGTTTTGAAATTCAATTGGTTGCTTCATGAGAGAAGAAGAAGGTATATCATAATCTTGCTCATCAGGCCTGCTTTCTTTTAATTTGCAGAGCTATCATGGAGCACAAGGAGCTGTTAAAGGTGCCCTGGGATTGGCAGATAGGTAAGATGCTGTTTTTAGTGAACCTGAGAGAGATGTTTCAAGAGTAATGTGGGCAGGGCACAAACAATGAAAGGATTTAGAATGCCGGAGACAAAAGAAAGTGAAATTCTCTTGTCATTGTAGGAATTCTTGCACACCATAAGAGACTGAACTGGGTGATTTATAATGTTTCCTAATTGAGCTTCTGCCCATTATCATCGTCAAGATGTCCTTAGTGTAGACACAGAAGTATGTCATTAGGTTAAAGACCAACCCAAAGGAAGGAATGCCCCGAGGCAGTGGTGGGACAGAAATGGCAGCAATTTACACTCGCCAAGAAACACAAAACTGATGTGATCATTAAGGAGTGGTACTTTGGTACTGGGGGAAAAATGGAACTTAACAAAAAGGCATGATCGAAAAACGATGTAATGGACATTCTGAGCCCATAAAAACTTTTTCAGATGGGAGCATTTTGCACATAAGAAACAGTTAATTGATCTCAGAATGGACTTGGTAAAAAATACCAGAGACATGTTGAGCTGGGTAGTGGTCATCAAAGGCATCTCAGATTTCACTTGTTTCTAAAAATCATTTTTCTCCTAATTTTTTTTTAATAAAGGCATAGGACTTGAGATCCTAGATGATGTTCTAATGATCACACAGAAAATTCTAGAAGAGACTGACATTTCATACCATCAGCCCTCAGTGTCTATACCAAGACACAAGAGTTCCAGCAATGAGCACAGAGCTTGCTTATGGGGGTACTTGGAAATTGTGTGCACACTGAATGTAAATTGCAGTGAAAATACACGGGGTTCCCCACCCTGAAGCTGGCTGCTTGAGCCATCTACCATTTATATGAGCTTTGATGGAATTAACTGCTTAGTCAAATTCTGCTTCCAAGAGTGAGGACAACTCCCCAGCACCACTTTACCTACTACTCCTGGCCTCAAAGCATCTAAAGCGACTTGCTGCTGAGGTAATTCCTCCTGAAGGCACACTGCAAGCTACCAAGTTATGCGTGATTCTCCCTGGGGATTATCTCTAGTGACTTCAAGGGCTGATCAGCCCTTGTGTCTGTCACAAAGTCCTGCCATTTAATTAATTTCTCCTGAGTTTTGCTATAGAATGTTACCATGAGATGAAAATCAGTAAAGAGGAGAAGGGAGGGAGGTGAAGAGGGCAGCTGGGAAAGGAAACTAGCTGCAGGTGGCAGACGTATTGACCTTTGTGATTCTCAGCACCAGGAAACAAAATGTTACCTGTGCTTGGTAATGCTTCACATGCAGTGGTCCGTGAGTATAAATTAATTTTATATTAATAGTTGTAGCAATAATAAAAAATAATTTGCTCTCTAATTATGTGGATGTCATGTGCACATCCACTGAGGTTCTGTTACAATTCCATGTTAGTTAAATGTGTCATTAAAAGGTAGTTTTATTCTGAGCTCTCATATTACCATTAAAATGTCAATCCCCTGCAGTCAGAAATGATGAAGAGATGGGTAAAAGGAACACATTATAGAGCAATTTGTTTAATTCCTGATGGGAAATGAGGCCAAAATGGTCTAGAAAGGAAATCAAATATTCATCATGTTCTTTCTAAAGCAGTGATAGGGTTGGGTTTGAAACTTCCTTCCCCCCACCCCCACAAGGCTACCTTTGTCCTTATTATGTCATCCTGACCTATCCAAGGTTCTATTGTTTAGCTCAATTCTAGGCACAAATTCAATGAGTAATTTTTTTTTTAAGTAAGCAAATGAATGAATGACAAGAGGATGGCAGAATTATTTAGGCTTGACATTGCACTTACTTTCTGTGGAACTGGGGGATGGTTGCTGGGACGCATGGACCAGAGAGGCAGGGACACATCAGGGGGTCAGCATCCTCCAAAAGCGTCCCCTCCATGCTTTGGGAAGTCCCCCCAGCGCCCGAGCCCTGATTGCTGTGTGTTCCTTGCTGGAGAGCTCGGAGCGCCTTTGCTAAGAGGCTGGAGTCCGAACTCTCTTCATCTCCCGCCATCTGTCAATGCCCTTCTCCCACTTCCTTCTCTCCACATCAGCTCTCACCGCAGACAGTCTCATGAACAGCTCATATGCTTGCTACTGTCTCAGAGTAAAAAGATGTTTCTTTCCTACGGAGTAAGTGGAATAATAAATGTGTTTTATATTTTTTGGACTTGGGAGGCATTTTTTGAAAAACTAAGATTCTCTCATTTTCCTATAACATTGACCAATTGCAAGATACAAAGCAATTAAAAGCAAGACGATAACAGTTATTGTTGTTTATTTTTATTTCTCTGTTTGACTCTACCGAACAGAAAAACTGGGTCTGGTTATGTAATCATCAAATTCAAGTAAAATATTGGACCTAATACGGTTAAAATGGGGAGCGGGTGTGGTCAAGTCACAGTTGAAAATCTAATAAATAACTTAGACATTCTCTTTATCCCATTTGCCATGTAGTGCTAAAGGATGTGTGAACAAATGTAAGCTGATGTGAAAGTCAAATGTCAGAGGAAAGGAAAAGTGTGCTATGGGTCAGTTAGTGCAGGTCTGTAGGATACAAAGGGCTCCTTCCCTTTCCATCTTGTGGGTGATGTGTGTTTTGTTTTTTTCTGGAGGCTAAAACAGGACAGTTGACCTTTCCCTGAAGATGGAATAATGGAACGACAGAGCAGAAAGGAACTTAAGGAAAACTAAGAATACACCTTTTTTGTTGTTGCTGTTTGTTTGTTTTTATTCTCACCCAAAGACATGCTTATTCATTTTAAAGCAAGGGGAAGGGAGGGAGAGAAACATCAATTTCAGAGAGAAACATCAATAGGTTGCCTCTTGTACCGGCCCTAAAATCTAAGCATGTGCCCTGACTGGGAATCGAACCCACAACTTTTTGGTTTACAAGACAACACTCCAACCAACTGAGCCACACCAACCAGGGTAAGAATACACCCCCCCTTTTTTTTAAACCAATGTTGAATCAGAGGCCTGGGGAGTTGAAGTGACTTGACCAAGTTCATGGCTGCCTGTGGTGGGACTAATGTGCACTCTCTGAGCAAACCCTGCCAGCCTGGTGCCCCTTACAGGCTTAGCCTTACACGTATGTTCTGAGAAACCATCTTACTTAGACTTTATTTTTAAAAATTAAAAATAACATTTTAAAAATCAAATGAAAGACAGAACACCAGTAAGATCCCAAAGAAAATAATAGAATAAAATATATACAACATATATAAACACATACTATGTACATGTATATATCACATAATCACATCATATGCTCTCATACACATGTGTCCATCATATACATGTATACATCATATATAGTATAAGTATATATATACTTATATATACTTAGATCATATATATACTTATAGATCATATATATATCATATATACTTATAGATCATATATATATCATCACATGGAAAATGGGATGCTCACTCAAGTCCAACAGGATACTCCTTCAAGGACCCATTTCTCTTCATAGTAAGTAAATACTTCAGATAGTGGTATGTGCTCAGAATTCAAAGTCAGGTGGTCTTTGTGACCTGATGGCAAGTCACTCCCTCTGTGTTCTGGCCTTTTGCCTGTTTACTCTTAGATCCATCTGCTTCTGGCCTTTACTTGCTATGTCTTGTAGAGGCTCATATAACTACACTTCCCAGTCATGGTGCCTTTGTAAGTGGCTTCTAGCTAGACTTGGCCAATGGGAGGCAGTAGGAGATTGGAGGGTGGGAGAAGAAAACCAGGGCATTCCTCCCTGTTTCTCTCTGTTTGGTGCTGGGTCTCTAGAAAGGGCTGAGTCTCCTCTGCGATGCTACCTCTACTGGGTCCCCTACCTACTGACCCCTGGCAGCATGGCCTCTTCACTGGGTCTCTCTAGCTCCAGGGTGCAACCTACTGTTATTACTAATCTCTGCACTGCCTCCCCATCCCCATTTCCCCTGTCATCCATTCAAACATCTTTATAATTTGTGTCCCATATTAAATTTCCCCTACTGAACCTGATATAGACTGTGTTTCTTGACTGATACATTCTATGAGCTCATTTCCATATCTGTATAAAGAGGATAAGAGTAGTAATGGTATTATACTGTTGTGAGGATTAATTAATTAATGTATATAAGGTACATAGTAAATGACACGTAGCAAGTCCTCAGTCAATATTAGCTGACAGTGTTCTTTCCAATCTCTTTAGTCTCTAGTCTTTTGGTGCATGAGGACGAGAGTGAATGAATTCTATCTTCAGTGAGAAAGGAAACATTTCAATTAAGAAATGGTTATACACATGCTCTGTCTATAAATGTAGTTATTGCAGCCATTATGTAGTTGTCAGTCAAAAATTAATACAGTTCATTTGTTTCATCATGTTGATTGATTGTTTGAAAACCCTGCATGGACAGCAAGTCGGGTCTTCCAGGGCGTTGTTAAAGTCCATTAGGGAGCTAATGTCCATCTAAGAACAGCAAACCAGCCAACTGCAGCAATACTGCATTCCCACTGTCGATTCCGTCGTGTGTTCATTCGGCTGACTATGCTTTGCTCACAGAACAGGATATTCACACACAAAAACACTGATTGACCCAGCAAAGTGATTAACTGTGATGGTTTATGCATTCTACTCACCTCCCCCTAAATTTAATTTCTATGATTTTAAAAAATTCATTTAAAATATTAAAGCTTGACGCATCCCCAGGGTAGCCTGACGAGTAGAGTACAACTACTGTGTGTCTGTGTTTTCTTACTCTGCTTGGCTTACCAATTACGATTATAAAGTCACACCTCCCCTCTGGGCCTGCCAATTATATATCTAGCTCCCTACTGGACAAATCCTCTAGGAGAATATATAAGCATTTACAATTTAACACGTTCAAAATGGAGCTTTTTATTCTCCCTGAAAAACTGATCCTTCTTCAATTCTCTCCATCTCAGGAAATGGCATCACAGTTCACCCGGTTTATAAATTCACCAGAACCTTTAAGAACCCAAGGGTATCCTTGATGCCCTCTATCCCCTCGCTACCTACATCCAGTCTATCACCAGACTTGTTGAGTCTTCATACACCCGGACACCTCCCTTCATCTCCATTCCATGCTGAGCAAAGCCAGCGGCATCTCTTGCACAGACTATGACACTAAACTGCTCGCTGGCCTCCTCCCATGCTTTTCTCCTTCCAATCCCTTCTCTGCACAGTAGCCAGTCATTTTTTTAAAAAAATGCATTGCAATAGATCAGCTATTAGCCACCTATTACTTACTCCTCAAAGGCTTCTTTTTTTCCCTTTTTAAAAATATATTTTATTGGTTATGCTATTACAGTTGTCCCAATTTTTCTTTCTTTGCCCCCCTCTGCCTGGTACCCCCATTCCCTCCAGCAATCCCCTCCTTAGTCCATGTCCATGGGTCATGCATACAAGTTCTTTGGCTCCTCCATTTCCTATACTATTCTTAACCTCCTCTTGTCTATTTTGTACCTACCAATTATGCTTCTTAATCCATCACCTTTTCTCCCATTCTTTCCTTTATCCCTCCCAGCTGATAACCCTCCCAATGATCTCCATGTCTATGATTTTGTTTCTGTTCTGCTTGTTTGCTTGGCTTGTTTTTTTTTAGATTCAGTTGTTGATAGTTGTGAATTTGTTGCCATTTTAATGTTCATAGTTTTGATCTTCTTTTCCTTAAATAAGTCTCTTTAACATTTCATGTAATAATGGCTTGGTGATGATGAACTCCTTTAGCTTTACCTTGTCTGGGATGCCCTTTATCTGTCCTTCCATTCTAAATGAGGGCTTTGCAGGATAGAGTAATCTAGGCTGTAGGTCCTTGCTTTTCATCACTTTGAATACCTCTTGCCAGTCCCTTCTTGCCTGCAAAGTTTCTTTTGAGAAATCAGCTGACAGTCTTATGCAAACTCCTTTGTAGGTAACTTTCTGCTTTTTTCTTGCTGTTTTTAAGGTTCTCTCTATATCTTTAAACTTCAGCATTTTAATTATCATGTCTCTTTGAGTGGTCCTCTTCGGGTCCAATTTGTTTGGGACTCTGTGCTTCCTGGACTTATATGTCTATTTCCTTTGCCAAGTTAAGGAGGTTTTCTTTCATTATTTTTTCAAATAAGTTTTCAGTTTCTTGCTCTTCCTCTTCTCCTTCTGGCACCCCTATGATTCAGATGTTAGCACTTTTGGAGGTGTCCCAGAGATTCCTTATACTATCCTCATTTTTTTTTGAATTCTTGTTCTTCATTCTGTTCTGGTTGAATGTTTATTTATTCTTTACGTTTCAAATTGTTGATTTGAATCCTGGCTTCGTCCCCTCCATTGTTGGTTCCCTGTAGATTTTTCTTTATTTCGTTTTGTGTAACCTTCATGTCTGCCTGGGTCTTTTTTATGTTGTTGCCATACTCAATGAGTTCTTTGAGCATCCTGAGCACCAATGTTTTGAACTCTGCATCTGACAGATTGCTTATCTCCATTTCATGTAGTTCTTTTTTCTGGGGTTTTGTTCTGTTCTTTCATTTGGGAACCTATTTTTTTGTCTCCTCAATTTGGCAGCCTGCCTGTGCTTGTTTCTATGTATCAGATAGTGCTGCTTTGACTCCCTGTCTTAATAGCATGGCCTATTGTAAAAAGGGCACCTGTAAATTGTATGGGGCAGAGGCTTATGTAACTGCCAGGGTGTGGCAACCTGCTTCACTACTTTGTGGATCTCTGTGATGGGAGGGCTTAGAAAGGGGACAATGCTGCTGCCTGGTTTTTGGAGGTTTGCCCAGCACTCACCCTGTTTTCAGTCACTTCCTTTACTCCCTGTATGCAACTGGAGCCCTTCCAGCTGTTACACTGGTGCTGGATCCCAGAGAAGATAGGTTTGCATTCATTCTAAGTCTGTGCTGGCCCTTTAAGTAGAGTCTCTTGAAAATCTGGCAGTTTCTTCTGCCACCCCAAACCCCACTGGTTTTTACAGCTAGAAGTTATGGGAATTTATCCTCCTGGCACTGGAACCCTGGGCTGTGTGGTCTGGTTTGAGGCTGGGATTGCTGGCTCCCAAGGCATCCCTCCCAATTTTTACCCACCATATGTGAATGTGAAACTGCCTATTCTGCCACCCCCATCTCTCCATGCCACACCACATCTCTGCACCTCCTACCCAACTGGATGAATGTGGCTTCTTTAAATCATTGGTTGTCTGACTTCCATACAGTTCGATTTTCTGATGGTTCTATGTGGCATTTGTTTTTAGATATAGTTGTAATTCTTTCTGTGGTTGCTTGAGGAGGCGAAGCACATTTTCTTATGCCTCCCTCTTGACCGAAAGTTTGGCTTACGACTAAAATAAGATATCAGTTTCTTTCCAAGACATACAAGGTCCTGCATAATTCATCCCTTGCCTAATTTTCCAACCTCAGTTCTTATCACTGCCCTATTCAGTTCATTCTGCTTAGCTATTCTGTCCTGTGGCAGCTCCTATAATACATCAGGCCCTGTTCCTTCCGAGGCTCTTTGCATTTGCAGATCTCCCTGCCTAAAACATTCTTCCCCTGGCACCTCCCATGGCAAGGTCGTTTTAGTCCTTCAGCCATCAAGGTAAATGCCACCTCCACAGAGAAGCCTTACCTAGCCATGCTTCCCAAGGCAGGCCTCCTACCATTCACTGTAAGGAACCCTTTTCTTCCTTCACAGCACTAGTACCAACTTGAAGCCTCTTGTCTTTCCTGTTTTCCACGGCACTGCTAGCCCATAACAGAGTGCTCAGGGCAGAGCAAGTATAATTGAGTGAATATAAAACATCAGAGCTAATATGTGAGCACCCGTGGTGTGCTAGGTAATGTAATAGAAGAGTAGGATTCTGGAACTTTCTATCCCAGTCATGTAAAATCTAAGTCAATAGTGATGCTATAAATAAATAAATTTTTAAAAGACTTTGGTGCCTGGATTGTGTTTGAGTCATTTGATTATTTTTAGTGAATTAATTTAAGGATATATCTTACTGCCTGTCCCAGATTCCTTAAAAGAATACTGAATTAATTTTTATGTTTTTTAATGTATTGATTGTAGGTTATTTAGTATTACATGTTTAGTACCTTGGTTAAAAGGCAAATGAATAATAGGTAGCAAGAAACCCAAGTATAGGAAAATTGACCGTTTTTAGAGAAGTAAGCTTCTGCTGGAGAGTCAAAAGCCATCTGATATTACAAGGACAGAAAATCCACCAGAGGACTCACACTTGATGGACCCAGAAAGTGGTTACTCCAGTTTCCTCCTGGGGCACTTCCACCACACTAGAGGGGGCTGTTGCACTAAGTTTGCTTACTGGTCAAAGCAATTTTGTATATAGATGTGGCTTTCCTAAAACTTAATATCAGAATGATGACTTATACCCTTAAATATTTTTCATATGGGAAAAACAAATTTTTTTATGGAGGAGTCACTGGTCTCCATAGTAATAGGGGCTGGATGTCCAGTACCTACCAAATCTTCGAAAATTCACAGGATTCAAGGAAGCAATCTGCCTGAGGCCCACCGTAGACACTTTATTTCAAGGATGCCTTTGGAAAGGTTGCTTACTTTTATTATATTATAGAACCCAAAGATCCACAAAATTGTATTATTTATGCTTATTCTATGCCTTATTCTTTCAAGGTAGAGAAATGAGCATTATTTTTCTACACTTGTGTGATATCAACATCTATGAAAAAAATAAACCAAACTATAGGTTTAGATCCAACAAAACTGTACACTTATGGAATTAGTGTTAACAATTGTGTATCTAGTTATAATTAGAGAAAGAGAGAGAGATTTAGAGGATGAGAGACTGGATGACTATATAACATTTTAAGGACATTTTTTTCTTTTTTATCTTTCTCTTTTGCACAACTTAATTGTTTGATGGTCTGAAAAGCAGTTACCTATTTATTTATAAAACAGCTGAACTTGCATGTGAGAGCTCATGGCATGCTAGGAAAGGTGCCAAAGGAATAGATCTCTGTGTGTTGGCGGTAGGGCTGAGCAGGATTCGCAAATCTGGAAGATCATCTTGTGCTAAGAGCAATGAGGTTGTCTTCCCAAGGACACATGGTTAAGATCCCAATTCAGTACTCTGACTTAGTCCTGATCTCTTTGACAGCTGAGCTCTTCAACTGAACAATACATGATACCAAACAATTTTGTTTCTGTTTTGCAAATAAAAACTAAGTGGAACCTAATCAACAAAACAAATGAGTAAAATAAAACCAGAGGCTTGGAAATAAAGAACAGATGATGACCAGAGAGGGGAGGAGAGGGGAATAACGGCAGAATAAAAAGGGGAAGGGGCAAGCAAAAGAACACAAATAGAGGACTCATGGGAATGGACCATGCATGGGATTGACCGTGGGAGTCGGGGAGACGGGGTAGGGGAGAGCAATGGGGAAAAAGACGAGACAACTGTAACTGAACAACAATAAATTTCAAAAAAAACAACAATTAAGGTGAAAAAAGTTTGGCAGGGATAGTAAAAGTTAATTACCACACAATTGAGAATTCAGAAGGCTTGACCCCACGTTCTGACTGTAGCCACCAAGAGCCACTCCCTCCTGGAAGTGAAATATCAGCTATGTAAGTGAGAGGCAGAAAGTTTATATATATTTTTTACTTTTTATGTTTTAGCTATGTATTACCCACTAATAAACATCAGTTAAGGGAGTGAAAGAAAAATTCCCTTCTCTGAATGATCAGTGGTGTGCACGGTCCCCCTTCTCTCACCCACTGTGGACACGAAGAGGCCCTGGAGGAGGCTATGATGTTGCCTCTCTTTCCTCTCCCCCAGGCCTGCTCTACGTCGGCTTTACCGCCTGCATGTTTGGTCTCTACAGCTTCATGCCAGTCGTCATAAAGAAAACCAGCGCCACTTCAGTCAACCTCTCCCTGCTCACAGCAGATTTGTACAGCTTGTTCTGTGGATTGTTTCTCTTCCACTACAAGGTAAGTTGAGTCAGTGCTCCTTTGAGAAGACACTTGGTAGGGAATCAGCCTGCCAGGGCATATAGGTAGGACTACCCTGATGTGGAATGGCCTGATTTGGGGTAGAAAGATAGGAACGGAACTATGTACCAACTCCTGTGATATGGATATTTACATTTCAACTATGAGACAGAGACAACACTTTGTCATGACAGACCAGTAACTACAGACAATTGATACTGAAAAATGAGATACTACCATAGAGGAAAGAGCTTTCAGTAATGGTGAACAGTTTTTTCTGACACCATTCAGCCCAGAAGCACCTCTTTGTTCAGCATAAAGGAAGATTTGTACAATTTCCAAACTATAACTGCAAAGCGGATTCTGCCAAAGGCAGTGGACAAAAGACATAGTTCCTGTGGCTTCTGTTCTGCAGATATTTTCAAATCTGCAAATATGAATGGAAAATATTAATGCATTTGAAATGCAGTTGCCCGTTGAACAACATGGGTTTGAACTGTGCAAACCCCTTATACACAGATTTTTTTGAATAAATACATATAGTATATAATGTATTTTCTCTTCCTTATGGTTTCCTTAATAACACTTTCTTTTCTCTGGCTTACTTTATTATAAAAATCAGTATATAACATAAATAAATAACATTACAAAATATGTGTTAATTAACTGTTTATGTTATTGGTAAAGTGGGCTGTTAGTAGTTAAGTTTTGGGGGAGTCAAAGTTATAAATGGATTTTCAACTGTTTAGGAGATTGATACCCCTAATCCCTGTGTTGTTCAAGAGTCCACTGTAGTTTCTTTACTAAAAGATTGGGGTTTCAGTAAAGGAACACAAAGAGATATTGTAGAGTGTTTACAGTTATTATATCAGCCCTGAAGAAAAGAAAAAAACTATTCAGTCCAAAGATGGCAGTCTTTTTGAAGGCTACCCACATCTTAACACAAGGCAGGTTTGATTAATTGGGTGGCACATGGAGGTCACATATTGTCTTTTAAATGCTACACTTTCTGCAACTATTAACAATTGATTGGAATTTGTATTGAAAAGAGACCTGCTTGCCATTCCTTAACTAGTCCTGTAAGATAAGGGTCAATGGGAACTACAACCAGTATGGGAAAGGACAAGTATGGAATATCTAAACAGATGAGACCAAATTAAGACAGGCAAAATAAGAAGCAGAAGAGAAGAAACACTATTCTGCCCACTTCTAGCCACGTGTTCCACCAGTGGTTTTACTGTTCACATCACTGGCACAAGGGTGGCCGGCTGATGGGACATCTTGGTGGGTGGGCATCTTCAGCCAGGTCAAACCGGGCTTGGAGGTTCCCAGAAAAATGCGGAGTTGGGAGAAGTATGTACTTGAGAGGACCAGAGGCAAAGCGGCTAAAGTGAATAATCAGAAATGTGACTGAGAGAAGCCAAAGTCATAGCCAGAAAACAGACTGAAAAGGGGGGACAAGAGTAGAAAAGAGGTCACAAACAAGCTAGCATCTGGGAGGACCGGAAGCATGTCTGAAACCCAAGAGGTAGAGAAAGCTGCTATGGTGGTAGACCTGAATAAAGTGCTCACTTCCTATTTTATATGGACCCTGTGCCCAGCGTGGTGACTAAAGTGACAGTTTAAAGGAACTGTCTAGGACAGGAAAATGTTTATACATTGTATGTGTGTGTGCGTGTGTATGTGTATTTTTTTTTTTTGCTTTCATAGTGCAACCTGTGTTCCCTGATTACATACTAGTTGTCCTAAGAGTAAAAAGTAAAGTCACAATATGTTCTCATGCTTCCCGCAGCCACAGAGCTGGGACACCCTGCTTCCTTTACAGTCCCTCCTCATACACACCCAGTTATTTTCCAGAGACCCGGAACCATGTAGCTGTGGTCTCGTCAATACAGCACAGTAGCACCATTTTTCTTCTCTTCTCTGAAGCTAAGCATCCACATTTAGTTCATTCCTAAAGCATGAGTTCAATTCTCAGCAATTATTCCTTTAATTGTCTTTCTAAGCTCCAGAACTAGAAGAATCCTTTAAACCTTCCTTAAGGAAAGAGGAGTAAAATCTACTATTCTGACTGAGGATTGCGGTCCCTTCATGGGCAGATCTGAACCTGGTCTACCCAAGACCAGGGCAGGTCCCGTCCAGCTCTTAGTGTCCCTTACAGCAGTGTTCCTGAAAATCTAGTTTCACCAGGGACACTTGCTAAAAATGCATATTTATGGGCCACACCTCTGAGCCATAGAATCAGTATCAGGGCGCACGTCTGAGGACATTTGCATTATTAACTGGCTCCCCTGTGAGGCCGCTGCTATCTGAACGTGAGAGCAAATACCTGACAGATGTGCCTGAACAGTGCTCATGTCTGTCTATTTAAATGCATCACTCCTCAAACTTCCACTCACTTTTGATGAAAACTGGGGCTCACCGCATTTGCACCCATCAGATAACAAAGAAGGCTGATGAACCAGGTAAAGTCCAATGCTCTGCCATCCATTTTCAAACATCATTTGCATGTTACTACTTACCTAGGAGAAGTATCTTTGCTGAAGAGGAAGCCATGTAGTAAGTAACCCTCATCACGCCATCATAAGAAAAGCTGCAATATCTGAAAATTAAATCCTTGTATTCATCATTTTAGGTGTAATACATGTTTTTATTTATTTATTTTTAAATGTCAAAATCCATTATAAAATATTAAAAAATTTAAATCCATTATAAAGTCTCTGCAATGAAAACAACATGACACCAGCACAGAAATAATCAAGTAGATCAATGAAATATAATGAGCATTCTAGAAACAAACATATATATCTGTCTAACAATGTAATATATGATCAAATTGATATTTCAAATCAATGAGGAAAATAAGGCTTATTCAACAAGTAAGATGCATGGACCACTATTACTTGAAATAAAACAAATACAGAACCCTTTTTCACACATACAAAAAATATTCAGGTGAGTTAAAAATCAATATGTAAAATCTAAGGAGTTTTAGGAGAAAATTCAAAATAATATTTTCCTTACCCTGAAGTAAAATATTCAAACCCAGAAGCTATAAAGTAATATATTGACAATATGACTATATTAAACGTTTAAGACTATATAGTAATATAAATATTAAAAAATCTAAAGGACAAGTAATAGACTAGGAAAGTATTTGCAACACATCTAAAAAAGGGTTAAGAGTCTTTTTTTTATGGAAAAAATTCTACAAATATTCAATCAAAAAAAGGATAAAGAATACCAAAAAGTCATTTAAAGCTTTTTAAAAATAATAGAAATAGGCAAGAAATAGACAAAAACAGGTTTAGTTTCAACAAACAATAAAGTAACAATTAAAATAACACATCATTGCCACAATCAGATTAATAAGTATTGAAAATATTGGTAATATCAAGTATTGGTGACTGTGAAAAGAACTGGGTATTCATAGACTCTCTTTCTTCATCTTCTTAAATCGTCCCTTTAGCATATTTTGCAGTGTTGGTTTGGTGGAGGTGTATTCTTTTAGCCTTCTTTTGTCTGGGAAACTCCTTATTTCGCCTTCCATTTTAATTGAGAGCCTTGCTGAGTAGAGCAGCCTTGGTTGCAGGCCTTTGCTTTTCATGACTTGGAATATTTCTTGCCATTCCCTTCTGGCTTGGAGTGTTTCTGTTGAGAAGTCAGCTGCTAGCCGTACCAGGGCTCCCCTACATGTTACTACCCTTTTCTCCCTTACTTCCTTTAAGATTCTCTGTTTGTCTTTGATATTTGCCATTGTAATGAGGATGTGTGTTGGAGTGGGCCTCATTGGGTTCCTCTTGAATGGGACCCTCTGTGCTTCCTGGACTTGTGTGGCTTTTCCTCTCCTCAAATTAGAGAAGTTGTCCATCATGACTTTTTCAAACAGGCTCTCTCTCCCTTCCTCCTCTTCCCCTTCTGTGTCCCTATTATATGGATAGAATTACATTTCAGGTTGTCGCACATTACCCTCAACCTCTTCATTCTTTTTGAGTCTTTTTTCATTTTCTTGCTCTTTCTGGGAGCTTTTCACTACTTTGCCCTCCAGCTTGCTGATTTGATCCCCTCCTTCATCTAGCCTGCTTTTGATTCCTTCTACTGTGTTCTTCAATTCAGAAATTGTATTCTTCATTTCCTCTTATCTCTTATTGACAGTTTCTATGTCCTTTTTCATGCTAATATAGTTTGCAGTAAGTTCCTTGTAGTTTCCCTGTAGTTTTTTGTAATTCACTCTGAGCTCACTAAGCTCATTGAGCTTCCTTAGAACCATTGTTTTGAACTTAATATCTGATAGTTTACTTGCCTCTATTTCATTTAGTTCTCTTTCTGGGGATTCATTCTTTCCCTTCAACTGGGGAGTGTTTCTTTGTCTTCCCATTATTTGTGAGACACTTCTTTTTTGCTTCTGCTTCTTCAATTGATCTGTCTTGATTTCCTGACTTTGTGGTGTCAGATGTTTTTAATTTTTAAAGCAACATCTTTTTATTATACACGCGTACTTTATCCCTAGTTAAAAGATAAATTTCCTTAAGGTAAAAATTAGTTCAACACAATAGGTGTTCTCTTTTTAGTTAAAATTATTTCCTATAGTCATTTTTAGAATTAAATTTTCAAGATAATTGTTGGTTCACAAGCAGTTTTAAGAAATAACACAGATCTCACTGACCCTTTATCTGCTAGTGTCTTTGGAAGTACAAAAGTTTTAATTTTGATGAAGTCCAACTTATCTACCTGGTGATACTTTTAAAAAAATGAAAGGAACCAATTCCATCACACCACAGACTTCAGGCCACCAAGTTGTCCCTGGTGGTTTCCGACATTGCTTCTCTCCAGGGCTGCCTGGTAATGACAGCCAGTTGCCTGGCATTGTCTGCTCTCAGGGGACGGTTGAAAGCCACAGCCTATGGAAGGGAAGATGCCATTCAAAGGAGGGTGTGGGTAGCTATAGAAAGAGCATAGTGTGGAAGAGAGCTTAAGCTGGTAACCCTCAACCTTGGCCG